TCGTGGGGTGGGTGAGGGGTAGAAAAATAGGCTTGTGGGTGTTGGGGGTGCGGGTAGGGGTTTGGTCGCGGGCCTAGAAAGCCCGGGTTAGAATTTGGGTAGGTGAACTGTCCGGAGGGCTGCCCGATGGTGTTCCGTGCATTTGATCCGGAGCTGCGGCCGCGACCACGACCCCGAGATGAACCGCCACGATGCCGGGAATACTGCTGCTGCTGCCTGAAGCCTCCCCCGCCGCTGGATTCTGACCGCCCGCCACCAGCGCTGCCCTGTCGCCGTGGGCCTCCACTGCCGGCGTATAACGCCGTGCCGCCGTCCCCCGTGTTGCTACCGACACCCAGTTCAACCCGTTGTTGTTCAATTAAGAGGAGGGCCGAGCGGGTTTGGAGAAAGGTCGGGGGCGGCGTTTGGTATTGAAGGAACGACGTTTGTCCTCGAAGATCATCCGAGAGACCACGCAAGACTTGAAGAACAAGTTGTTGTTCAGAGACGGGGGCATCTACATCATCCAACCAATCCGCAAGATTCTGTAGGGTTTGACAATAAGCGACAATGGAGAGAGAACCCTTTGTGGTGGTCCGGGATTGGTGTTCAAGTTGCATCACCTGGGCCGGCTTGTAGTGGAAGATGTTATAGATGGCTTTCCAAAGCTCGGATGCGGAGTTGGTTGTAGAGAGAACAAGATCGCAAATTTCATCATTAACCGTGGAGAGGAACCAACCTTGTATGAGGGCGTCAAGCTGGAACCATTCCGAGTCGTCGGCGCTGGAAGGAGACGACTTGCCAATGAGAAAATCACCCAGAGAGAACCTTCGAATGAGGAGGAGGAAGAGCCGGCTCCACTTTTTGTAGTTGGGCTCGGAGAAGCTTAGGAGAATCGGCACATGGAGCTTCACGTTCGAGATCGTCGTGAACGCCAAGTGCGGAGTTGGAGAAGATGATGTTGAATCGGTGACGGAAGGCTTCTCAGACATGATGACCGAGGGGTGGTTGCTCGCCGTGGGAAGGGAGATCGCCGGAGAGAGACAGCCGCTGGGCACTGCCGATGGGGGAGAGGGAGAGACGGCGGCGGCTGCTGTTCGGCCGAGAGAGACGGTGATGTCGTGGCTAGGGTTTTGCCTGCGCTAGGTCGGACGAGAGACGGAGAGCAACGAGAGGCTCTGATACCATGAAGAATTATTATTTTCTATTAAGAAATAATGAGGGAGAAGCCTCGTATAAGTAGTTACAGAGGATTCCTAATTACGTAAGGAAACCTATATATGTAAACTACCATAATTACAATAATCACATGATTCATATTAAATACATATTTAACATTATGAATTAACTATTTTACTTGGAAGTTCTCTATAGTTACATTTGAAGAGTATTCAATATTTATATCCTGTTATGAATTGTTATTAATCTAATTAGAACAGTTTAGATCTTATTAGATCAGACTTTAAAAAATCATATCAGAATTACTAAGATCAGACGAACATAATGCCTGCTACATTGTAATTAACGGTAAAAAGAAGAGAAACTATAATGGAAACGAGCAGTGGTTATAGAGTGTGATAAACTAAAAGAAATAGAAACCAGTAGATGTATCTGTCGCTATTTCAAAAACAAATACTCCGGTATGTAGACTGACAATTGACAAAATTAAATACAGGGTATAAAAATCAATGGATCTTGTGACTGATAATTAGGCAAGGGTGAAAAAACTTATCATGTTATAAAATAAAAAGCAATGTGGAAGGATTAAAATCAAACAATGCAATGAACTAATAATATCTAAAAAATAGTTTGTATGTGAGTTGTTGGTATAATAATGGTCTTGTTTGGAAACAATGTTTTTTATTAGCGTTAGCGTTTTAAATAAAATTTTAATGGTGTAGATTAATTCTGAAAATGCTAACGCGAAAGGCTACCGTCGGATAGCTTTTTCAAAACGGTAACGCTAACCTCTAATGCTGATTTTTTCCTTAACCAAAAGGGCTTTTATTTGAAAGTAATGATGTAAACTAGAGAATTTGTTAGAGTAATGACGTAATTTTTTCCTTAACCAAAAGGGCTTTTATTTGATTTTAATCAATATTCATGGAAAGATTTAAAAATAGAAGCAGAAAAGTCACTCACTTCAAATACAAACTTACTATTTATGGTTTAAAATTTTATTTTAAAATCATTTTAGACCATTTAATTTTTCCATTGAAGTTCACAAATAGTCAGTTTGTGAAGTTTGTGACCATTGTGTTTGTGAACCAAGCATTTCCCTTGCTAGTATGGAATACATACTCAATTGCTCCCTAACTTAGTAACGTAAATGTGATTCGTGCAACGCACGGGTGTGATACTAGTGAGTTTTTTTTTAAAAATCCAAACAGTATGTGCTAAAAGATACTATCTTCGTCCCGCTATATTCGTCCACTTTTGACTTTTGGAACTGTTCATCTAAGCACTTTGACTCATCAAATTCTCTCAATGTGTAAGCTTAAATATAGTCATGTGTGATCTTGTTTGATTTGTCTTAACATATAAATTATTAATATACAATTTCTATAATTTTTTAATATACAAATTACATGATAAAATGGATTAAAGAAGTGTATTGGATGGTGTGTAAAAATTAAAGTAGACAAATACTCTGAGACGGAGGGAGTAACATTTAAAAATGGAAAAAAGTTATTGATGGAAAAAGAATGTTTTTTTATTTGACACCCATAATACGTTATTTATGCATACACATTTAATTGCGGGTAAATATATCATTTTGTTTTTAATATGTTTCCTTTCCCTTTTGCCTTTCCATCCTTACAAAATAAACTAATTTCATTTTCTTTCCTTTTTTTTTATCTATTCTCCTCATTTTCTAAGGATTTAAAATCATTTCTGGTGTGTTTGTGAACTAGAATTTGGATTTTAAATCTGGATTTGATTCAAATTACTTATTTAGGAAGTCAAAGAATTTGGTTGGACCAAATTTTTCTAATTCAAAATTAACTCAACTACAAATCCACATCTCTCCCATGTCATTTATAAATTTAAACCCAACTTTTCTTTAATTTATAACTTGTAATTAAAGAGTGGCCTCCCCTTATGCAATAATAATTCCATACAAATCAACCTGCTTTCGTTAGTGTCTTGCCGGCATCAAAATTTAAAGCCTAGAATTGAAATTCTATGACTTCCCAAACTACATTAAGAATTTGTAATTATGTGATTTCAAATATTGGAATTGAAATCTAAGATTTGAAATTAATTTTAGTTTCCAAACACTACCTTATAATATTTTTCTTTTCTATGCATAAGACATACTCTCTCCGTCCCCCATAGATCTTCCAATTAGCCCTTTTTATTTGTTCCACATAGATCTTCTCATTACCTTTTTTAACATTTAAAATACCACAACTACCCCCACTTACTTTATTTATTACACCTTTCCCACCTTATTTAATACACCCCAACCATTTTCATTAAGGTTATTTTGGTAAACTTTCACCTTTTTTCAACTCTCCTTAAAAAGCACAAAAAGTCAAAACGAGAAGTCCATAAACATACATTGATGTACTAAATTACTTTGTAGTAAATTTTAATTCAATATCACTTATATTAACTTAAGTCTATACCAATATCTATGTTAATAATTATTGACATGTTTTAAAATATGGGTTTGCATCCTTCCAAAAGAAACAAAATCTAGCACAAAAAAGTAAAAATATAATAGTAATAATAATGATGATGATGATGATAACAACAATAATAATAATATGAATAATAATTTTAAACTTCCTTCGATTTTTTTCTAGTTTGTTACGGAGTATATTATATCTATAAAAAAAATTAACTTTATGAATATTTTGAAAAATAAAGTTTTAGTTTATATGATTTTCAAAAACAATAAATCATTTCTCTTTTACTACTTTTAATGAAAATACTTATAGATTCTTTAGTGCATGTACATCTATATTTAAATTATATTATTTGAAAAAATATATATCTTAGAGTTAAAAAAATATTCATTTAACACATATTATGTCACTATTAGAAAACTAAAATAAATAAAATTATATTTATAGAATGTCAATAATTTAGAATGTATACAAGCTCGTGCGAAGCACAGGGATTAACACTAGTGTTATAGTAATAAAAGGATATTTAAACAAAATTTACTTTGGTAAAAGTAAAATGTTATTTGGCTTTGGGCCAATTTTGTGGAAGTCTCCCTCTGTCCTTGAGTATTTGTCTATTTTTTATTTTTTCAGTCAAAATTGGTAAATTTTGACATCGAAATAAATAAAAATGATATTAGATATTGATACAAAAATAATTTTATTAGATTTGTATATCAAATATTTTCAAAATATTATTTTATATAATTGATATATAATATACATTTTATTTAATAATATGTCAAAGGTTGAAAACAGTTGATTGAAAAAAGTCAAAACTTGACAAATACCTAGGGACCAAGGTAGTATTTCTTAATTCATAAATTAATTTTTAATAATATAATAAGTCATGAAAATCATAGATGAAGCCAATGCTATGGTTTGAAGTTGGATTTGGTTAGAAAACTAAAGTATCAAAAATGCTAGACCCACAAACAAAGTGACCACAAACTTCACAAACATACCATGTGTGAAGTAAATTTTAAAAATAAAATAGTCTAAACTTATTGAAAAGTGAAAATTTAGTTTACAAATTGTAAGATTGTAAAGTTTGTGATTACTTTATTTCTGCCTCTAGCATTATTGCTCCTAAAGTAATGACCGGACCAAGATTTTATAAAATAATAAAATGAAATTTATGTTGTGGTTTTTTTCCTAAAATAAATGTGGAAATAAGGAATGATTTATTGAAATAAATATTTACTTGAGAATATGGACTTTACTTTATTATGGAACCATCCTAAAATATTACCGGGGTAATTGAAATAGTTTTAGACTCCGTTGGAGTAGACACCTAAAATGATACAAAATGCTAGAATCACAAAAACATAGTTTACAAAATTCACAAACTTGTTTTTTTGGATTTTAAATTAAAATATCTTTTAATATTTGAGTGTATATTATTTCTAGTGAAATATTAAAAAGACAAGTTTGTGAATTTTACAAAATGTTTGTTTGTGACCCTAGCATTACTCAAAATAATATATAAGAGAAATTAAACTAAGTTACTCCGTACAATATAATCTCAAGTTCATTCGTCATGCAACAAAGATATATGTCTAAGTGCTTTAGTGTCCATCCTCACAAAACCTCTTCTGTCGGCTCTATTGTAGTACCTGCGCTACAAACTGTCCCTCGTTATCATTGATCAACTTGTGGGGAATAATAGGAAACAAATTAATTATTATTATTATTGTTTACTTTTCTTACTCGATTGCTTATAATGGTTATGTTTACTATGTTTAAGATTCTTTTTATATTCCTTATATATATGTATGAAAATGCATTATTAACCTAGACCAATTATTACCAAAATGTATCGATATCAATTTGTTAATTTTTGATATCGAGGTTATATATAATTTGTTCGATTTTTAATAATGTTACAGTGAAGAAAAAATACAAAGTCAAAAAAAATTGGTTCCCCTCATGCATGGAACGAGTTAAAATACTACTCCCTCCATCTCAAAATAATATTTCGATTTAAGATTAGGATATTTGATCGAAGTTATTTTCAATTCGATCAATTTATGCAAATATTTGTGTATAATTAATAAATAAATTTATATATTAAAAAAACTATTTCAAAATTTCTACAAAATAAATACTGACAAAATTTTTATCAAATGATAGAGTAATGAAAACAAGTAAATAAAGTAAATGTAGTTCGACCTTGTGAATTGTAAAGTTGAACATTATTATGGGACGAAAAAAGTAGTTATATAAAAGCGAAACAAATAATTTGTATCACACTGCTTTTTTCATAAAACTATTGGAAGATAATAAAAACTTATTTCGAGACATTTCCAAATTTTAAAACAGGACTGATAAGTTATTTGATTCGTCCCAATTTAAGTTGTAAATTTACTATTTACAATGTCAAATTTTAATAACTTTCTGTACTCATTTAGTAAAATAATATATTAATACCACACATTGTTTTGTAGAATTTTTTATTTAGTTTTTTAATTCTACCCAATTTTCATATAATCAAAATGAGATTAAACAATAATCAACTTAAAATGAGATGGGATGGTACGTAGAAAAATACTCTATCCGTTCACTAAAGATCTTTCTATTACGCATTACGAGGCTTGACCAACTTTATTTTCAAATTAATTTATTTTATTATAGGGCTAAAATTTAAAAATAATATTTACATAGTAAAAAATTAATATGAAAAGTTATACAAAACAAGAAGTGGCAAGAGTATATTATTTAATGAAATAAATAGTAAAAATAAATAAAGAAAGTGGGTTAAGTTTGACTATATAAATAATGTCTCGAAAGATCTAAGATGGATGAGAGTACTTTTAGAGCATGTTCATTAGGAATGGAAAAAAGAATTGATGTTGGAAAAAACTGGAAAGAACTAGAAAAACTTGAAGAAACTGGAAAAAACTGGAAAAAAACTCGAAGAAACTGGAAAGATCGGGAAGGAACTGGAAGAAACTGAAAAAACTTTAAAAAAATTGGAAAACCTAAAAAAAACTTTTAAAAAATTTGTTCTAGTGTACTTTATATTATTCTAATTTTAATTCTTGTTGTTATAAATTATTATTATTATTATTTTATCATCATCATCATCATCACGTTATCTTAATAAATGTTTTTAAGATAAAAAAAAAGTATTGTTATTTTTCAAATACAAATAACTATTTTTGCAAAAAATAATCATAATATAATGTTAGCATCAATATAAAAATATTAAATTTTAAAATTTTTTTGTGGTTACATTGCACCTCAATTTATTGATGCAGTATTTATTATAAATAATATATTTGTAATTATAATTTATATATTACAAGATTTTGTTTTAAATATCAGATATTTTTGGAATCAAACCTATATGTAATCAAACCTATTTTTTCTTTCATGATTGACATTTTATTTTCATTGGAAGCCCTATTTTTGGAATAAAGACACATGACTTTTTTTTTAAATTTTTTATGTTTTACTCCTATTTTAGTATTTTTCTCTAAATTATTTTGACATTCAATTTTTTTAAAAAAAAATTAGAAAAATGAGAAAATTTTGAGTAATAAAGGGAAATGTTACAAGTCTTATATAAAGTTAGAAAAAATAAAACATTCTATGTAACTATTTTATTCATAATTTATTAATATAGTTTAAAATATTAATGTTTTCATGTTTTATCATTTAGATTAATATACAAAAAAATTGTTTTATTCATATTAAAAAGTTAAAGAAAAAAAATATGTGTGTGAATCGTAAAAATAGTGAAATGAAAAAATAATTTATGAACTATAGTTATGAACATAAGAGTTGTAATAATAATAATAATAATAATAATAATAATAATAATAATAATAATAATAATAATAATAATAATAATTGATGGGAACCAAGCCCATCGAGAGAGTACTGGTAAATTGGGCCTAGGCCCAGTTCGGATCCCGTCCATCAAAAGGAGCATCCGGCCCAGGTAAAATGTACCGGGCCGGTCACAGGAAGGTTGTCCGTAGAGGAAGATAGGAAAAGGAAGAGAGGTGGGGCTTAAAGATGGGCTGGAGCCAGCCCATTAAGGGTAAGCCACCCACAAAGAGAGGAATCCTATGAGAAGTTTGGGGAGTCCCCCCTTTCACTTGAAGGGACAAAGACGAGGAGAAAGAGACGGAGGAAGGACAGGAGGCAAGAGATGGATGGAAGGGTTTGTCCTCCGGTGGACGGCCTCAAGTGGAGATACACCCCCCCTGGAAAGAGCGAGGCTGGCGCGGATGTTCTCCCCAATCACTGCTATTATTGTAGGAGATAACAGTTGGGAGCGCCTATAAAAGAGAGAAGGATTGAGGGATTAAGATATCGGGTAAGAAGGAGAGAAAATACTTGAGTAAATAATAAAAGATATTCTTGCGGTCCTTAAGCATATTCCGTTCCTAAGAGGACCGAATAAAGGAGAGGACCGCCGATTTGAGTTATTATCCAGTGAGCAGTGCTTCTATTACTATTAATTATTATTCTCGTATTATCTTTCAATATTATAAGGCCCGGATACCTATATTTGGTCCTAGGCTGATCTACAGTCCTTGGGAAAATATTGGGTATCCATCACTGGCGCCACCCGTGGGACCGATTGAAGCTTCTTGACCTTCTCGGGAGTTGATAGCGAGCCTATCTCACTCTTGTTCACTCGGAAAGACCTCTTCCTAGACCTGGGGAGAATTAGCGGTCCATTCCAAGTGAAGGAGATAAGTTCGCGGTCCACCCAGAAGGACTCCTCGTTTTAGTCGGTCCATTGTTCAAAAAAAAAAAAGAGAGAGTGAAAGGAGGACCGATCTTCCACAGAGGACCGCACTTATCAGCCGGTCATACAGGAGGACCGATTTCTTGCTCAGGGGCCGCTATCTCCCGTTGGTCCGCCTTTTTCATCAAGAAAAGGTTTCCAACTGTTACTATGGGCAAAAATCGGTCCAAGAGGAACAAAATTGCTGCTAAGGCGCGAACCAACTTGGAAGGGAAAGAGAAGCTTTCATCTGAGGATCTCAGACACCAAATAACTCTCTCCCAATCCAGGCGTGAAACACANGAAGGTTCCAGCCAAAAAAGCACTTCACCCATCTTTTCTCCCTAAAGCAAAAGGAGGGAGAGACCAACAGTGAATTGGTACAAAGATGGAATGAAGCAATCAATGAGGTGGAGCCTATGGACGATAAGACTTCCATTGCTCTGTTCATGAATGTTCTCAGGTCGGGGGAATTATTCAGGAAGTTAGATTATGATACCCCTACTTCTTACAAGGCTATGATGGCTAGAGTTCACAAGTTCTGCGCCACGGAAGAGTCGGATCGCCTGAAAGGAATGAGCGAGGGAGCCTGGCATAAAGGCCCGGACAAAGAAAAGAAAGGAGAAAAGACCAAGGCGGCCACTCTCTCCATCCCTACCCTCAAGTCACTGGCCGCACCAGTGGCAGAAATTAAGAGCAAGGAGGAAGGTGGGCAGAAGAGGAAACGTGGAGATCAAAAGAGAAGGCAGTGGCCCTATGACCCAGAAAAATATTGCAACTTCCATAGAATGCCTGGACACGCCACTGAAGAATGCCATTTCCTCAAAAAGATGGAAGGAGAGATGAAGAATAAGGAACCGAATGCCAATCAGGAGCCGAACCAAGGAGGTAATGTTTGGCGTAGGGACGCCCAACCTCAACAGCAAGTCCAGGAGAACCCGGAAGAATTTCCCCAAGTAGGAGTCATCTTTGGCGGACCAGAAACAGGAGTCACAAGCAAGGAGAGGAAGGAATGGGCTCGCAAGCTGTATGTGGGGTCCATTGACATAGGCCAAGCGGCCAAGAAAGGAAGGAGGGAGCCCATTGTCTTCTCGGACAAAGATTTACCACTCATTCTTAGTCCTCATCGGACCCCCCTCGTAATTTCTATGGCTATTCACAAATTTTTTGTTAAAAGAATTTTGGTGGACACTGGAAGCAGTGTCAATGTGCTGTACTGGGAAGCCGCCCAGCAATTGGGAATCAGGAAGGAAGATCTCACAAAGCTTAACATGCCCTTGTCCGGCTTCACTGGAGATATAATTGAACCGGAAGGGTCCATTAAATTGGACATCATCATAGGCGAGCATCCTAAGGTGAG